ACTTTAATCCAAGTTCTTTATATGTAAATGATGAATTTTTTTCATAGAATTCACAAAGTTCTTTTTTCTCACCCCAAGTTAGTATCTTCCTTTTTTTTTTGAAGAATCACTTGATGACATTATTAAAAATATTGAGAATTATTAAGAATTATAATTATCAACAATCAACAAGGAAAAAATATTTTTGAGTTCCTTTATTTATATAAGAAAATTTATGATAATAATGATATTACAAATGATCTTTAAAAACATTACATAATTAAAAATATTCTTAAGTAATTTTTACATCATACAAATATAAACCACATGCAATAATTTTAACCATGATATAATTCATTATAAAATGTTATGTGAGTAATTTTAATCATAAAAAATATTACTATTATACAAGTAATTTTATAATTAATAATTTTAACTATTATAAAATGTTACGTGAGTAATTTTAATCATAAAAAATATTACTATTATACTATATAGTAAATATTACATTTTTTAATGATGTCATTTTATTAGCAATACAACCTTTAAAAGGGAATGATTGACAGGATGTAATAATTTCTTCATTATATAGAGAGCTATTTATTATGATTGTAACAAAACACACTTCATTATATACTTATATAGTGAGTTTATATTAAAATTCATTATATGGAGAGAAATTTATATATAATGAAATGGGAAAATTTTTAACTTCATTATATAATATGATTCATTATACAACAGGTTCACTATATCAGAGCCATTAATAAAAAATGGATCACGGCATAAGATCATCATAAATAATGATATTCTTATTTTTTTCCTTTTTAAAATATATATTATACCAATAATAATAATTAAAAATTCAAATATATTTGTAAAACTAAAGATATTATACATATATATAAGAAAGGTTTGTAGTTTTTTATGCAAACAATTTCCTTATTTGTATTTCTTTGGTCAAGATTGACAAGTTTTTTCATAACGAACTGAACACAGACCTTCCATCCAAACTTAACTTAATGTTAAAAATTAATGTTAAAAATAATAACAGTTGGTTGACATTGTTGAATATATCTCTGAAATTTTTTGAATATTAAGAATATTAAGAACATTTAACAATAAAAGGTATTATTCATTCATTATATAATAAATAAATTATTTTGTAAGAATATATATATCACCATCATTAAGGACAAAACTTCCATCACACACATATATATATCTATTTTCTCATACAATAATAAATTCTTGACAATTGAACCTTTTGTACAGATAACCTGGCCATGTTGCTGCACCTCAACATGGTGGCCAGGGGGCAACAGATATTGATGTTTTTTATCTTGTTGTCATAAAAGAGCATTAGTATTTGGCTAAGCAACAACAAAGAAAGAAGTATTTGAAGAGGAAAAAGAAGACAACAACAACGAAAAAGAAAAAAAGACAACAACAAAGAAACAATGAAAAAGAAGAAGAAATCAACAAAGAAATCAACAAGAATGAAAACAACAAACAACAAACAATGAAAAATGATGAAAAAAAGACAACATATTGATATAGTTGCAAGTCTGGTGGTTTGAAAGGATTCCAGGCGTTACAGATATTTTAAATATCTGGTTACATGTAATACCCAATAGATTATCATGTGTCAATGACAACAGGTATTGTGCACATACCTGGCATGTAAATCTACGGGTTTCCCATGAATGACAGAACATTCATTGCTGAATTTATTACATCACAAAAAAGAAGCCAAGAGGAGGTACCAATCAACATTTTTCTTCTCTAGCTAGAAACCTGAAATCAACAGAACTAACTATTTTGTATTTTAATGTGTTAGGATAATGAAGTTTCAACCAGGCAAATTAAAAGTAAACTATGCAATATGGAAAGCAAGGAAATGACTCCTGATTACTGTGAACTTTCCAACAAAGTGGAAAATGAAATTGAATTGGATCTCAAAAAGACATTTGATAAAGAATATAATAAAATGAAAGACAATCTGAAGTGGAAACTCAAATCCACAGGCAGAGTCATGGAGGACACTTTATATGAATGCGTGCCTGATTTCACATCAGAGCAGTAAGTTTATTGGGTTAATATTTTTAGAATTTTCTTACAGATCTTACAAATCTAATAGCTAACTTGTTTAATATGCAATAGCTTAATTCATTCATTTACTATAGATATAGATGACCCGATAATCAAAGGAATCTTTTTTCCTCAAGAATTACAAGAAATTGAGGAAACAAATGTTAAAGAAGATCCAGACTTAAGCTCCAAACTTTATGGAAATCTAGCACATTTTTGTAATAAGTAGGGTTTTTATTCATGAATATCATGAATATCATTAAGGGGGTTACACACTATTAAAACAGCAAAAAATCCCTTAAAACATGAATTGATCACTTGATTTTAATAGTGTGTGACCCTGTGTGACCCCCTTATGATATTCATGAATACAAACCCTAGTAATAAGGTTGGTTTAAAAACATTGTCGAAAATTGTTGTCATCTCATTGTTAACATATTTTATATAGAGTAATACTGAAGAAATAAGAAAAATCATGAAAGAAATTGATCATGAAGGATACAACTTTGAAGTGGATACCCTTAAATATTCAGTTCACAGCCTGTAAGTATAGTTCTAAAGTTATATCAACATATGAATGATTATTCAGTGCAAGATGATTTTATTTGCTTCATTTGCAGGGTATGACAATATGAACATACTCCAAATGCTTTCTCTTTGGATCATTATGAAGCTTGGTACAACATTAATGTCTGGGGTCCCATTATCGATAGAACCTTTGATAATATACTAAATGTTGATATTGCTCAGTAATTAGTAATAGTGAAAGATTCTAGAATCACATGAATATTCTGTTAACTGCAACCTCTATTAGGGGTGAATTGTCAAGCCTTGCAAGCTCTGATCAAAAAAACAGAAACCATACTATGGATACCAAAAAAAAATGGGTAGAAAAGGTGATGTAATAATTAGAAAGTTGTCAGGGGAATAAAACTTGAATTTGGAGGTTCCGAGGCTGGAAAATACTACAAAGAACAAGGTGCAACCAAGTGGCTTTATGAGTCGAGATTAAAGCTTCCAAAGATGATGCATGATATGTTTATTAGCTTATGTAAGAATACAGATTGGAATTTAGAAAAAATGGAAAAAATGGAAAAAATGGAAACAGTGGGTTATATTCATGGCGGTATAATATTATTATTTTATTATTACTTCTTGCACTTATAATATATATTATTCAGAATCATTTGTGGATGTGATTGTTTAAATTTTATATATTTTGCATTAACAAAAGCGAACTCTATTGCATGCCAGAAGATATTGAGTCCTTTAATGATGCAATAGAATTGATTACAGCAGTTTGGAAGAGCAAGGTAGTATCCATATTTGGTTTTGTTTTATTTTAATGTTCAAGGTTACTGAATCAATATTATTCATAGATGCGAGTTGTCAATATGATGGCATTATTAAATAGCACAGAAAAAGATGTCATTGTTGATCACCTGTCGACAATTAAAAGAAATATGAATAATCACACTAATCAAACTAATGAAATCAAAAAAATTCTTCCAGAGAATCAAACTACACCAGAAAAGGCTCAAAAAAAAAGATTGTTAGATAAATCTTGTATAAAAGTAAAATAAATAAAATAAAGTTTCGCTTATGTTAGTAAACCGATCAAGCAACAGTTTTTCATTACGTAACGTTATGTAAGAATCATGTAACTTTGATCGTGATAATAAATAATATTTGAATAATTCACATTTGTATAAAAGTCATCATTAAACATGCAATCCGAAATTGATTTATTGAGACAAGAGAATGCCAGACCTATGGCTAGAGTTGTAGAATTGGAACAGACTAGTGCGAAATTCTTCATTAATTTTATTTGCGACATAATTCCAAAAATCAACTCTGCTACTGCCAACAATATTATGGTATTCAGTATTATTAGATTTACGTTCGTTAATTAATAATCTTAATTTGGTCATTGGTCCACATCGTGAAAATGGAAAAAATAAATATGTAAAAGATATGGAAATAGACACAAAAAATAACTTGTCTTTATACTACTTTTTTCTAAAAATCGAGTTAAAGATGATTGCTGTGATTTACTATATTTTTAGCGCGACTCTGGCACAAGTGTGATAATTATATAGAAAAAATTTAGCGTGACTTGGATAATTTTCATAATTTTCATGATTTTCATAAAGATTCTTCCATTTTTCTATACATTGAATATATTACACTACCTACAGCATGCTGGCAAAATTTAATCAAACATATTCAGAATTAATCCGGAAAATACCACCTCCACTAGAAAATGAAGCTTGGGAACGTCTTATTTCTAGAAAGCGTGATCCAATATCAGAAGAAGAGACTAGTTCTGTAAATCCATTAATAAAAGCGTTTTTAAGACATGAAGTTAATAGGTACCAGAAAAAAATAAAATCCCAGCGACAAAGTTAGCCTTCATTTGAAAATTTATTGTGTATATATAATAATGAAGTTAGTAAGGCTATAAAAATGGGCAATAGAGAAACTGAAACCCAAAATACTGAACCAATTTGTATATGTAATCATGAGGAGGAAATTAATTATCGCGTTAAGAAAGAAGTTGAAATCTTATTCCAGCACTTACTAAAATTTAATGAAAGAACATTTGGACAATTTATGCAGGAATTGGATAGAGACTATTACATCGATTGGAACACAACCGGGAATTTTGAGGAAAGTAGATATGAAATTTTTATCTTGGCTGATTTTAATTGCAATACCTTTTCGGTTCTCTATTTTTTCGGTATTTTTTTTTTTTTTTCAAAATTTCTGTTCCATGATTGCTCTTTATGAAAGAAATCTTTATCGGAAGGATTTCCCACCCCTCCATGATAATTCCAATGAAGAATAGCAATATTTCAGCGTGGGTTTCCGGACATTTGTGTAAACATCAAATCCAAAATTTTCAATTGGTAGCTCTTTCTACTACGAATGGCCAATCGTACTTGGATCCATTATAAGTAAACTCGATATCAGAAGATAGCGCTCGCCAACATAGTGCAAATGCTTTTAACAAATTCCTCTCATTCCCACAAATAATTGTGATCCATCGTGGGTCTGATATGATATCTACATCAACGGGACAAATTTGTTTTAATGGTTTTGGGTTGTCTTTCCAGTTAATGGCCATACAAATCATGAATACGTTATCTTCTTTATATCTTGCCATAGGGAGAGAATCTAATCCATGTGTTGAGTTTGTTTTAATATCCCAGGCAACAACTAATGTCTGATCATGAGTAATAAGTGAAGGAGTGTAGGTTTTGTGTAATGTTGAGGGGTCATATATGGTCTGGAAATTGTTAATTGATACATAGAAAGCATGTGTACAGAGTGGGGATCGAGCATTATAATGTGCCCCGTTGTATGAGTAATTAGTTAATAAAGCCCATCCAAAAAGCAGGATCTTATATTCTCTAGCAGCTTTCCGATAATATGCACTCCTATCGTCAGAGGTAGTTTCTAAGTTATGTTTTAGAATAATATTTAGAGCGATTTTTTTTTTGAAAAGTGGTTGTTGTGTAAATTCGAAGATATGACTTTTTTTCTGCATGGTAATCGCGAATAGGGTATGCTTTTACGTGTTCTATCTGAATTTTATTTATGTCTATAGTTTCTCCTTCGTCATCTTTCCCATTTCTAAATGTATCGTTTATTTCAGTCTTGAATACATTAACAGTTTTATCATCGGGAAGACGGATATCGAAGAAAATTTAATACCTGAAATAGTTACGGCCTTTTCTCCATTGACAAGACATCCATAGATACATAAAACATAATATGGAGTATTGTTTATATACTCATTATATTCTTCAATATCAACGGGCATAAATGGGATATCTTCTTTATTGCTTAATACTCATTTAATGATTTTTTTTGAGCCATAGTCATCACTCTCTGCAATTATACTATCGCGACTAGGATTGATTTGTAAGTATTCTTCTCCATTGTATCGAAATACTTGACCTGCTTTTTTACTTTCTGAAATATGTACTTCACAATGGATGCCGTTGGTTTCGTTTTCTGTACTGTTGTTTTGTGTTTCTGTGTTTTGTGTTTCTGTGTTTTGTGGTTCCATATTAATTTCGCTTATGTTATTTTGAAAGTATAATATATGTTATAGTAAGGTTCAAATAAAGTTCAAATAAAAATTAATTATTTAGAAATATTAGTGTAAGGTATAATTTATACACATTAATAGTTTCACTATCTCTGCTAAAAAAATTGTATTAGAAAAATCTTTAGATATGGGTTTTGTCATTGTCCTTATATTCTCCGAACCGGTGAAATTTGTAATGTAGGTTGTTATCATCGAGAAGGGTGTAAAGTTCATTGGGATTCACCTAAACATATACCCTGTAAAGATTGTGGTAAGTTAACATCTTCTACATTTGGTGCATGTAAAGATCATTCCGGGAAGTATTGATTCAGAGATTATTATCAACGGAAAAAGCTAATAAAACTGGCTCAGAATGAATTTAGAATAAAAGAGAGCCTGTCCAAGTAAAAAAAAAAATCTGTCCAGGTTTCCGTCCAAGTTAAAAATATGGTAAAATAGCTGGATAATATTTTTAAGCTAAATGAAAGAGATATAGACTATCCCGTCCAGGTTGTCCAGGTTGTCTAGGTAAAATTCGGATTTCTTTACCTCTTTTTTTTTATATTTTTTTTAATGGGTATATATACACACATACATATACCATAGGAAAAAGTTTCGATTTTTTTTCCTTAAATACTATATTTTAACCTAGACAACCTAGGACGAATATAGAATAACAAGTTAAAAACAAAATAGAACACTTTCTTCTATATAAATCCGTCTAGGTTGGCATAATTTTTTACCAGGACGGAATTCCTCCTGATTTTATATCATTTCATGCTATACTTGGTAGCAAAAAAAAAGATAACGCGTTTTAACGAGAGGAGTTAAAGAATACGATACTATGAACAAATAACCAAGGTATAAGGTGTAGTCTTCTTCGAAAATATTATATATAAAAAATGGAAGAAGACTATAGCCTCTTTATGGTATGTTTTTCATAGGATAGGTGTAGTCTTCTACGTAAATATATATACAGTTCGGATCATCTATAAAAAATTTTGAAATATTATGTGATCCACACATTGGATTTTAAAAAACCACCACCATTCAATTCAGCTTTAAAAGGGTCCTATTAAGCTAAAAAAAAAATTTGTCTCAAATTTTCTTTTTCATAGATTTTTTAATTTTCATGTTACAATATTTTGAATCTCATAATGATTTTCTTTTGATGTAATATGTTCGTTAAACTTTTTTGTTGTAAAGGACTTTTATTTATTAATAAAAAAAAGGAAATAAATAAGTCAAATAAATCAAATGTATGTTGTAGAAAATATTCTATGAAAAAAAATTGATACACGAAATTTACTTAGTCTCAATTTCATAAGTGTATAACAAAATTCGGAATTTTACAATTAAAAATGTTTAAATAAGTGAATGGATTAATGTAATAATATATATAACTATTAATAAATGAATATTTAAATATATCATTTAATAACTACTACTACTACTACTACTACTATTATTATTATTACTATTTAAATCTTTAATTCTATTCATTATAATTTGTAGTTGTTTTAACAATTCTTCATTATTCTGATTTAATTTATCCTCAAGATTCTTTTCAATTTCTCTTAGATTTTTTTCATTTTGTTTTAATTTATTTTCAATGTGTTCAAACTTTGAATTGAAATCAATTGAATCAATATTTTGTTTTTGGGGCATATCAACAAGTTTTCTTAGTCCATCAGACACATATGGTAAATATTCAGGATCTTCATTACTGTCATCCATATCTTTAATTTTTCTTCTGATATCATCAACTGGCACATAATACGATCTGATAATAATAAAGTAAAATCAATTAATTAAAAAAAACCCATCATGATGAAAATTATCAATAAAATAATTGATTATATATATATATATATATATTACAATATTTCAGGAAACCAACTTCTCCAACGTCTTTGATTGGGCAATAAATAAAATAATTCAATCTCAATTATGATTTTTGCTTTTTCGGCCAAGAATGCTTCTTGTATATTGTAATGTTTGATTTCATTACTAAGTAAACCAATGAATAAATTCATTAGGTACACCACAACTATAAATGAAAATACCACTACTAATATTGCCAAATATGGATCATTTTGTAATGTCCACGATCCAAATACTTCATTACCTATAAAAAATTGGTTTTTTTTGGTTAATTATTATTTTAATAAAAACATGCATTTATTATAAAAAAATTTTTTTAAAAAAGTCACCTGAAAGAAAACTATACATGGCCAACAATGAAGAAGAGGGATATGCAAACATATTGGTATAATCATCAGGTTTTTGCACAATATATGAATCTTGATTATATGAACCATTGTTTGCAAATAATGTGTAATATCTAGAAGCAAGATTCCAAGGATTATTAGGATCACTGTTATTGGTAGGTGTATCAATACTAAAATCTTGTAGTGGTCTCAACAATATATAAAAGGCATGTGCAAAACCCAAGAGAATTATAAATAATATCATCAAAAATGAAAAGACTTTTTTAGCAACCCCCAAAATTATAGTAAAATATACTCCAAAATATTTAAATGCTCTTAGAAATAATATAAACTTTAGATTCAACGTTAAATTAGATAATGAAATCAACCAAACAGGTGGCTTGCTTTCATTAATTAACCAATAAAATGAAGTGATAATTGGAAATGAATAGGCTCCAATATCTATAAATTAATTAATAAAATTAGTTTATAATCAATGAGAAAAAAAAAAACTTTTTTAAGTCTTACCAAAATAATTCCAAAAATCATAAACATATTTTTTTGGATTCCATATAAACTGTCTCAATTCAAAACTGAGATGAAATAGTCCAAGAAAACCAACAATTTTTAATAGTAACCTTCTATTATCATCATCTGGTGAAAAGCCACTTGCAACTGCAAAACATGCTAAGAATACTACATTGATAATCCAAATTCCAACATAATAACTAAACCCAAAGGCATTCCATTTGAAATCCAAAATTACACGACCATTCCATTGCTTGTATAATTCCAAAGTGTCTAATTCAATAAATACATTATTTGTTGGTTTATATAATTCCCTCCAAAATGAATAATTATGATTGTAATTGAATAGTCTAGGAAAGGGGATTATCAGCATCACCCCAGGAACTTTTGAAATATTGTTATTTTCATAATTTAAAGATGCTTTAATTTTTTCATAATAATTCCAAAAACTTTTGTCTGAATAAATAAATACTTCATTAAAATGAGCATTATAAAAAGAACTTGGAGTTGTAATCACGTTATAAGATGGAAATATTATCATTGAAGTCTGAATGAAAAATTTTGATATTAATTTATGATGACCTTTTTTTAATCTTGGCAAATGTGAAATAATTACTCCAAGTAAACTAATATTTGACACAACATCTTTTTTAAAATAATAAAGACAAAAGTCAAATACTCTTTCCACTATTGCACTATAATTTTTTTCTAATGCCATATCTAAAATCACATTTCCATATTTATTAAAAATGTAAGAATTATCTAACATATATAAAAACATTTCTTTGTAAGGATACTTGGCATCATTATTTTTATCAACATATGAAAAATTGATACCATCAAAAATCTTGTCAAAATCAAAGAAATATTTCTCAGTATTCTTGTTATCTGCCAATAATTTGATTCTTTTTAACAGATCTTCTTTATAATCAATACTAAGATAATCATCCATAATATACTTTACACATATTTTGGAATTCTTATTATCAAAAGCTAAAACTTGTATAAAATACGTTGTCCTTACTAATAGTTCATCATTGTTTATCAATTGACAATATATAAATTTTTCAAAATGATACATTGCATATTCATCAACTGTGGTCCAGGCTTGTGCTTCTTTATTAAATTTCTGAGCTACTATATTAATATTCTGAAATTCGTTATCATAATCTATAAGCCATTTTACTGATTCACCTGGTTCAATATCAAAAGTTAATGGTGTGTCATAATTTAAAAGTTTCTTGTACATTTCATGTAATATCTGTCCTATATATGAGAATCCATTGTTTTTTAAGTGCATTCGTTGAGTGTCTAATTTTTCTTCATCAATAATTTTTTTAATATGAACTTGATGATTAATTGTCATTATTATTTTGTTGTTTGGTAAAATTTGTGCAACTAAAATATCATTTTCATCCATGCCATCTATAACATCTTCATAAAAATATTCTGTAATATCCATAAAATTGTCAAGATTATAAGGATCTATTAATTTCCATTGATAATTTTTTGTAATTTTATCATAAAACATAACCAATAAAAATTCTGATTGATCTCTGACATAAATAAAATCTAATTTTTTGATATTGATATGGTTTTTCATTTTATCTACAGAAAAATTTTATTATTATTATTGTGTATATTAAAATATATTATTATTATTGTTATATTTGTTATAAAAAAATTACTTACATGAGGAAACAGCAATATTATGTTTTAATGAATAAACTACAAGTTTTGAATTATCTGGATAGTATATTGCCATTGATTTTTTATCTTTATTAAAATTTATAATACAGGACTTTTGATAGATTAAATAATAACACTTTTCATAAGAAAATGTTATATTATTCCATTGTGAGATTAATGTATCATTATTACCAATTAAAAGATGCTCAAATGTGGGCAAAAAATCACGATCATAATGATAATAAATAACATATGTATTTTTATGAACCAACTCATTAAATATAATATTGTTGTCGTTATATGTAAATACATATATGCTATAAGAGCTTTTTGACCAATTATATGCGCCTCTCATTAACAAATCATTGTTTCCAATAAAAAATCCCTTATCAAAGTGTTTGTTTTTATTTTTAGCTTGAATTTTAACATATTCTTCTGTTGAAAAATCAAGCAGTTCTAAAAAAACAATATTTTAATGATTATTAATTAAAAACAAATTTAATGTATTAATTAATCAATTCTATGATTACTTACTATAATATCTTTTGTTAGTGGTATAATATAAAATTATACATTTATTATTAGAAACATCATCTATATTCAAATTAATAGGTTTGTTTGTATTGCCAGACTCTAAAAAAACTCCTAAAATATGATCATTGGAATACTTTACATATTTTTCTTGTTGAATAGTCCCTTTATCAAAATCAACTGACCATCCAACAATAGACTGATCTTCTTTACTATGAGTTATAAAAAATTCGTAATTGGGGCTATATCTTATTTCGTAAATATAGCGTCCATTATGTGGTATAACGCTTTTGACATTTGTGTATGTATAATCATTCCCAATGATTGGTTTTTCTTTTTTATCTATTAATGGGTTAAAAGTTTTTTGTTCGGCAGTCACTGTTAATTCTATATGATCGTTTATTTTTTCTTCCATTTTCTTTTGTTTCTAATTTTTCTTTCCGGTGGTATATATACTAAAATCTTTATTTGGAACTGGTAAAACAATAGTGTAACATAAAATTAAAACATTTTTAAATCGATAATACGTACTAATACAGATTTTTAAATTCTTCTGATATTAATTGTTATAGAATTTGAGCGAGAATGCTTTTTTTTACATCTTTTTTCTTCGTTTAATGTTTAGTTAGCGTGATAAAAATCATCATATCGTTGATTTGTTTATTTACTTTATAAGAAAAGCATCATTTTCTATTATTATTAATTAATCCAATGATTATTGTTTAACTAACTAAAAATGCTTAAAAAAAAAACGTTTCTTTAGATCGTACCATAGATTTGTTTACTTTTTGAGAAAAGCATTATTAAGAATTGATTATTCACTTACTTTTTAAGAAAAGCATTATGCGCTAAAAATGCTAAAAAACAAAATACTGTGCATCTAATTAATTTGACAATTGGATTGATTATTTCGTATACTTTTTAATTGAAAAAAAGCATTATTGTTTAATTGATTGATTGACAATTGAATTGATTATTTGTTTATTACTAAAAATAATAAACATTTTAAAAGACTTGGTTGGTTTCTTGTCAATAACAATAAGGAAATTATTTGTGAATTGTACACCTTCAAAAAAGTCTTGGGAGTTTTTTTTTTAACAACAAAACGATCAATCCCTGTTTTTTAATTATGGCGACAGAGCATCTTCTTTGCAATTTTCCAAAGGACTTTAAGATAGAATAACCTTTCGCTTGCCATCACATTTTTTTTTAAAAAAAATAAACTTCTGCCAGTTTCTTAAAAAAATAAAATAATCTCTTCACACCTTGATAATAATAATAAAAAATGTCTGTGATACTTACTGCCATTGTGTTTGTCAAATCCATCAGCGGAATCAGAGCCCTCAGTGTGGTGGCAACAGTTAGATTAGACGAGGAGGAGTACTTGGATTTCTAATACAAGGCATTTAAATCAGGCGAAGGAAGCCTTCTGAGCCCATCTAAGCGAACACATGCATGCTGTTTGTTGAGAGATATGTTTTCAAGTTCCAATTATATGTGAGTGCAGCGAGTGTCGTTTGGTTTATTGTTTCCTGTCTTTTGCTCGTTTGTTTATTAAAAAAATAACGTCGCTTTTGCCTTTCGTTCAGGTTACGCTAATCAAGACAACATTCCTTGATTTGAAGATGCTGGGTGATATGCCAAGTATAGAAGATTTGCCAATCAGCCCTTTTGTTCGGTACGGCAACCGGTCCGTGTTCTATGCCTCCAAAAAGCCAAGATGGAGGAAGTTACTTCACGTTGTCCCATAAAACTTATAATGCTATTACTGGCACGTATGTGGTGATGAACGTTCCGTGCCTTTACGATCCCGATAACAGCCGTTATAGCTACGTAGCAAACACCACGAACAGGAAAGCTATTTTTTCCACGGCGAGAGAATTGTTTGTTAGCAAGAATCTCGTGCAAATTATTGTATCTAATATTGAATGGACTGCCAATGAAGGAAGCAAAAGATCCTGATGCAAGAAGCTGAAATCGAAGCACTTAGACTTTGAGGAGAAATACGTGTAGGGCTCTGGGAACCAAAAAAGGTACACGAACTACCATTATGATGGTTATAATGGAGAGTCGAGTGCAAGCGCGCAAAAAAGGGGTACGGCTACAAATTGCGAAGAGCAGGAAACACCACGAGGTTGACCAGATTTGCAGATGCGGTGACGTTAACAACAAGAGGAAAGGCTGAGAAGAGGATGTCGAGAAATCGGTGGATTCTCACAAGGAAAAATCTTGTGAAAGCTCCGACACCGAATAATCTTTAGTTTCTTTTTTTTTTTTTAAGCATGTAAATGTTTATTCTATATACAATAAGAATTATCATTAATAGTTTTTCATAATTTTAGCCCGTGTAGGTAATTTATTATAAAAATTATCGGGTAGGTCCTATATAATCACTGGCAGAAATAAACAAACTTATTTTTGCAACTTTATATTATAATCATGTGATACAATCAGTTTATCGTTTAATAATAAGTCGGGCCTACTTGATAACAAGAACTTAAATTGCTAGCAGTAAAAACCGATTTTACAAAATTAAAGACATCTATCTATATATCTATTTACCTACCTACCAATATTGTAAGAGGGAGGTCCTTGCAATATTCGGAATTAATTTTTGAATTAATAGTTTTGATTGGTCGATTGTAAAATACAATGTGTGCAACTGAATCAAAAATTTTTTAAAGTTTAATTTCATTAGTAATTTTTTTTTTCAATGATTATGAATTGATAATAACAATAATGGCACAAATTAACAAAGATTTAGATATAGTTGTATTTGGAGCAACAGGTATGTTAAAATAACTATCGTTTTTTAAAAAAAGTTGCATGCAACCTTGAAATTTTACAAAAAAAAAAGAATATAAAGAAAAATAGTTTATTCTTTTTTTTTTCTCCTTATCTGAAAAAAAATTTGAATGAATTATAAAGGTTTCACTGGTCGATTTGTTGTCGAGGAAATATGTCGTACAGCAAGTGACATGAATAAGTTGAGGTGGGGAATTGCAGGACGTTCAGAACAAAGACTTCAAGAGGTATCCAATATTATAGGTGTTGCTAGTGGAAATACTGTTCGACAACCAGAAATTATTATAGCAGATGTTGAAAGACCGGAAAGTTTAAATAAGATGGCAAAAAGAGCTAAAGTTGTGATTGCATGTGTTGGTCCATTTTTTCTTTATGGTGAATCGGTGGTTAAAGCTTGTATTGAGAATGATGCTAATTATGTTGATATCGCAGGCAATAATCAATTTATTATTTTAGTAATGATTTTGTTTATATTTATATATAGATTATGTAATGGTGATTTATACATATAAATATTAATTACATACTTTTATCATATATATATATATATCCTCTTTCTTTAAATATATAAATTATAGGCGAAACTGAATTTATGGAACGTATACAATTAAATTATAATGAGCGTGCAAAAACGAAAAATTTATCAATAGTAGTTGCATGTGCATTTGACAGTGTAATAATAATATTAATAAATAATTTGCTACTATTTTTTAAATAATCATCAGTTAATCCTTTTATTTTTTTTTTTTGATGGGTTAATATGAATATATATAGGTCCCAGCTGATTTAGGTATATTATTTACAAAACGTCTATTAGAATCACAAGGAGCAATTCCTTCTCAAATTGAAATGTTTACAAGCGTTCACTGTGGTAAAGCTGGTTTAGGAGTTAATTTTGGCACATATGCGTCTATAGGTAATTATAATAATAATCATAATTACAATAAATTTATTTTTATTAATTTATTAAATAATATTAATAATATTTACCTACATGATGAACGATGCAAAAACATTATAGTGCATGGTATTAATAATGTTGAGAGATTACGTGAATTAAGAAAAAATGCCAATCGGCCTAAAGTTCCTAGAATTGGACCACCATTAGAAATCATTCGATCACATAAATGGAATGATCAAGTAAAGGGGTATATTTATCCATCATTTCTTACCGATCCAAGTATAATTAGGTTGAGTCAAAGCTTAGATATTGAATGTCAAACAGGTGTGCCACCAGTTCAACTTGGCGCGTATCTTGTGTTTCCTAGTTTTAAAAATTTGGCAAAGATGATGTTTGCAGGAGCTTTATTCAAATTTCTTGTTAAATTTTCTTGGGGAAGATCACTATTACTAAAATATCCTAAAGTATTTACTTTTGGTAAGTTTTTTTTTTTTTTTGAAAAATTTACATATATAATATTTTATTATTTGATATAATATATATATATAAATACATGGACATAGGCACTTTTTCACACAATGGACCTACGCTTGAACAAATCCAACAAACAAGTTTTACTCACAAGTTTGTTGCGAAAGGAATTCTTATACAATCAACAACAACAAATCTTAATCTTCATGATGATGATTTAGAATCAAATGCTTCATTTGAGAGATTGTTACCACCACCATCAGAGTTAGAGATTGTTACTGAAGTTACAGGACCAGAACCTGGATATGTAACCACACCGATATGTGTAGTTCAATGTGCTTATACCATACTAAAAGAAGGTGGCAATGTCCCAAAAGGTGTTTTAACTCCTTCTTTAGCATTTGGTAAAACTTCCTTGATTCAAAATTTAATGGAATATGGAATTAATTTTCGAGAAGTTGATAAATCTTAATTATGTTTAAAATAATTTTTTTTTTTTATACTATAATCTATAAAATATTTATTTTGATGATAAAAACCCTTCCTTTATATCAATTTTTCTCATTTCTTTAATGTACAAGTATAACAATAATTATAATTTTAAATTTTATTAATTTTAATATATTAATGAATGAATTATTAAAAAATCAATTAAATAAATATTCTAAACCCCCCCCACATTTAATTATATAATACACGATAATTTAATAAAACTATAAAGCATTATGATATGTAGCGTTCGATGCAATTGAACGGCCATCATCATCATAATTATTATAGTGTGATAATCTGTCATTATTGAGAAATGACAATAATCTGTCAAGTTTTTCTTCCATGGAACTAATTTTGGATCTCAATTCATTTTGAACATGCTGACAATTTTCACTACAACTACTATTAATATTGTTATCATTATTTTTTACTTTTTTATGGTCATCGTTTTTTAATTTATTATAATTAGTATGCTTCAATTTTCTTAATTTCCATTTATTAACTTCTTCAATGTTAATTTGATAATAAATATTTTTTGGAAACCAATCTTGATTTCTTTGTTGTGATGAACTAATAAAAAATGTTTCCACTTCTGCTATTAATTCAGCTCTCAATTTAAGAAAAGCTTTTTTTCCATTATATTTAGCATCAGAAACAACATCTGACATGATTGCGATCATAATATTCTGCATAACAATAACCAAAAAAAAACTAGCAAAAAGTGTTATCATTGTAACCGGCAAAAAATCCCAATGATCAATTTGATCCCATTGACCATTCGTCCAGAAATAAACCGCCTTCGCAGATGAGAAAAAATCGTCAAAATAGTTATTTTCAACATTTTCAGTTATCACCAAGTCGTTTTTAAATAATGTTTGTGATGGATCTCTAAGTGTAAATGATGCGCCTTGAGGTACTACGCCTATAAGTTCAGGTCTACTTAACAATAAATACCTACATTTGAAAAATATCTGATAATTAGTGTTTTTGCTTTGGTGACATTTGAACGAGAAAATAAAATTTTTAACTTACATTGTATGGGCAAATCCGCAAACAATGAGAAGCATTACTCCCAAGAAAGGAAAAATCTTTTTCAAAAGATTCAATATAACGAAAACATAGATACCGATTACTAAAAAATAAAATCAAAAGAATTATCAATTTTACTAACTATAAAAAGTAAAAACGAAACAAATAACTTCATTTGATTGTCCTTACTTGGTAAAGATCGCATTCTCAACAACTATTAGTTTAAAAATAAAACAAAATAAATTTCAAATATAAAATACCAAATTAAAAATAAAAAATAAAATAAATAACCTACCAATTCGAGCCATAATACTAAGATGGTCATTGATAAAAATATCAATAAAGGTCTGCTTATAGGAATATTTTCAAAACCGTTAGTTGTTTCATCTTGAGCCATGGACATTAAGAGTGATCTTAGAATGAGAACAGTTCCGGCCATTGGTAGAACACAAGCCATCACATCAAATAAATTGTACAATCTAATGTATTTTCGTGCCAACAATAGGCATTGTTGGATCTCAAGCACCAATAAAACGGTTCCCATACTGATTACAATAACCACTGATGGAATCATTGCAATATAAAATAATACATCTGTTGCTTTTATTTGTGTTACATAGCCGTAACAAATAAATCCGAAACATAATTGATAGAATGAGAACAGTAATAGCAATCCATAAATGTAATTACGAGCATATTTATTCCATTTGAATTCTACTATAGCTTCCATGGCAGGATTATCATAGATAATGTCATTTGTATCGGCCAATACCATTCTCAAGAAACGACTTTTTCTATTGAACCTTAACAGTATGCTTCTCCCGCTTGCCTCTTCATCTCGTTTCGGCACTGTGAAATTTGGTAATGGTACCATGCATGTCATAATTAATGGAGTTGCATCATCGATGTTTCTCTCGCTTCTCTCATGTTTTGAAACTTGATTTGTCAATCTTGTGGGAACATCAAGAAGTGGTTTCGCGATAATTAGTTTCTCTGAGGTTCGCAGTGATATGGAATCCATTTGGACTGGAATATCTTTTAAACCATATTTTCTTCTGATAAAGTTTCTAATTTTAATCCAAAAATTTTTCACTGTAGATGAAGGAGACCTTAAATTTCCAGAAATCAGATGTGCTGCTTCCTTTGAACCGAAAATCTGTCAAAATTTGTATCGTTAATGAATGAATATCCAATAATAAATAGATATGCAAGCAATTATAAAACTTACTGGCTGATCGAATAATCCTACAACATATTCTAAAATAACATAATTATTATAAATTATAAATTTATAATTTAATTTATAATTTAATGTAATTTTTAATTCACCCTACCTTTATAATTTCGATAAAGAAAAAGTAATTCTTCGGAGACTGTTGACATCCAACCAATATTATCATTTGCAAGGGCAGAGTAATAAGTGACCAACTCTTTAACTATACCGGGATTTTTAGTTAAGATTGCAAGATGCAAGTCATTTAATTTTTTTTTAGTTGAAGATCGTTTTTTAGGAGTTCCAACAATAAATGTTTCCTGGCATTCTTCTTCCGACCAACCGAGTTTACGTGGAATATGCAATTTATATTGCTGTTTATCTTTCAATATATAACTAACCAATTTACATCTTGAAACTATTAAATGAGCCATAATACATTCTTTGGTGTCAATTAGACGCCATTTTTGTGGATGCTTATCAATAAAATCTTTTAAAATTTTAATAGTTTCTTGAATCGTTTTTTCGAAATATCTTTTTCTTCTATTTGATAAATTTTTGGCATCGTTATGTTTATCGTTAAGAAATCTCAGGGAACGACAAACTTCTTTAATGTAATTGTTGCATCGTGGTAATTTTATTTCTATATCATTATTATTATTATTATTGGTATTGGTTGAATTGATTCTTAGTACATAAGAATTATATTGATGTTCTTCAAATATTATTTTAGTTATATTAGAATTGTAATTATTGGGAAGGGTCCAAATGTATAATAAAGATTTCCCTTTTTCCCAAACTTGCACAGACTGACAACCAATTATAAGTTGCAAGGTTTTTTTTACGTTCAACCAAATTGTAGTTTGGACTCTAGACGAGGAATCCCAAGGCTCGCTATCTTCAACAATCAAATTTCCAAATTCCTGAGATTGCTTAGCATCATTATCATCAAAAGTATCCAAAAGTTTTCCAAAAAGATCATAAATTTCATATCTAATTTTTTTTCTATCAGTAATAATCATCATATTTCTTACAATTTTACAAATTATTGTTGGTTTGAAACCGTTGTGGTAATAGCTGTCATTACTATTATTGTCGAATGGAATTAGATCAACACCCGGATTTAAAGAAGGATAAACGAGAAAGTTTGAAAATAATCCAATTGGTCTATTACGATTTTCTTGTTTTCTACGTAGTTTATTATCATTGTCATCATAAATATTTTCAGAATCATCTTCATTGCAGTTAAATAAATCCCAAATAGTAGTATAGATGGTGTCATTTTCTTCTTGAGTTACAACAGCAAGTTTATTATCATTATCAAAAAATGTCATGTCAATAATCCTTGCATTTTTAAATTTTTTCATTGCAATATCCAAACCATTTTCAATTAGGAAGATACTAACTGCTTGTTTACATAATGTAACCGCCAATAGTTTTGAATTTTTGGATATGGTAATAATTGGTGTTTTAGCAGGAAAATTACTACAATCTGAACTTTGAAGGATATGTTCCAATTCGAAATCAATGCCGTGGTTTGGATCAAGATTATACATCTCGAGGAAATGGTATTTTTTGGCATTTTTACGTAGAAAGAAAAAATCCTTGACGATGATTCTGTTTAATAAAGCAAAATTTGCCTTTATATCGTGAGTTCTTATTTGATTCAAGATTATTGACGAATAATTATAATAGTGATTAGTGAATTTATCGTTTTTTGTGGAGGAGAATGGAGAGGAGAATACCAATCTGTGAAATCCTGATCCTCTTAACAAAATTAAAGTATTAGAATTGATAAATTTTATAATCCCGCCACCCATATTATTATATATTGATACTATTGATGATGGCGTGTTTATTGATTTATCAGTCCCAGTTGAAAAAATGTATGTCGGCGCTTTTTTAGTTGGAAAAACTAATTTTTGTGGTGATGGAAAATAATAATAATTATTATAATTGTGGTTGTTTATTTGTTGTTGATTTTGGTTTTGCAGTTGTTGTTGTTGTTGTTGTTGAGGAGGAGGAGGAGGATGAGAGGAGGAAGAGGAAGAGGGAAAAAAATCAGCTTCACAAAGATATGACACAGCAATTAATGCATGACCTTCTTCATTTCTGTCAGATATGGCAACTGACCAACCAGATTCTTGATTAGAGATTATATGTTCGTTTGGGGGATAAAAATATTCACGTATTAAGATTCGATCCATATTTTTCGAATTAATTCTCCATATTTGTAACCTTTGACACTCTATAAAAAAAATAATAATAAAATGATAAAGAAGAAATTATCATTAATATATTAATATATTAATATCAGATATGTAATATAATTATACACAAATTTTTACCAATATCAAACGTTAAAAGCTCTTCGCCATTTGGGCTGACATTGATGAAATATTTTTTTATATGTGTCATATTTTATGATGATGTAGACGATGATTAATGGTTGATATTCTAAACTTCATTAATTAATGGGTTAGAAGAAAAAGGAGAGATATGAGAAGATCAAGAAGATCGAAATGTAACAAAAATGAAATTCATAAAATTAAAGAAAAGAAAAAGATACAAGCCGAAAAATTTTCGATTTGTTAATTATTAAATACAATAATAATTGTACAATTCTTTTTAGTGAAACATTAATATCGGAAATATCATAATGAACTGGTTCCATTTTTAGAAATCCTTATGGCAATGAACAAATTTTTTTAGATTATTGTTTACCTTAAAATTCTAAATAAGCATATTGAAGATGCAATTCGAAAAACAACACTTTGTTACTTTTACTTTTTATGTTTTTCTTTGATAAATTTACTTTTGCGCCTTTAAAAATCTGGCTTTTTAATTTGGCCCGATATAATCACAATAAGAACTTCCTTTAGATTTTTTTTTTTTTTGTATTTCATATCAGGTGTGTATGTATGATGATGGCGAATACATGCGGGGTTCGTAAATCTAGCATTATCATTATAATTAATTTACGTGAGGAGAGATAAGAAATATAAAAGTATTCTATACTCCCGATGGGAAAAAGTCATTATTTATTATACTGATACAAAGAAATAAATAATCACTGACTGACGCCGATGTTTTTATAAACAGTTTTGGTTTAGTTAATTGCTTTGGTGCATGCATTCAAAGAAAAGCCTGAATAATAATTATTTTATCTTTCTCCAATATATATATATGTATGTATGCGTATTATATGGTATTATATTATAATATTAAGGCTAATTTATTATTGTATCTTTTGCGTTATATAAAGGAAATATTGAAAGATCGAAAGAAAAAAAAATTTTTTGAAAAATCAAAAAAAAAAAAAATCGAAAAATCAAAAAAATTTTTTATATTTGATTGTAATTATTTTAATTAAATTACACGTAATAAACACTAAAATTTACTCTCATAAATTAATTCTTAAAATAAACTCGAAAATAAACTCGAGAATAAACTCGAGAATAAACTCGAAAATAAACTCGAGAATAAACTCGAAAATAAACTCGAGAATAAACTCGAGAATAAACTACAATGTTTATCAGAAACGAAACATTACTTTCGGCAACAACACTTTTATTATTCCAGACCTGGATAGAAGTTTTATTAAAGATTACTTCTAATTTTGTTTAGTATATTTTTTAAAATTTAAAATAACAAACGCGTAAAATATTTTGATATAAAAAATGCTATTCCTTTAATGTCTTTTACATGAATTCATATTATATTAATATGAGTTCATTACATTTATTTTCATGTTCAAATTCTATCAAAATAATTATAATTTTGTTTAGTATATTTTTTAAAATTCAAAATAACAAACGCGTAAAATATTTTCAGCATATTTTGATATAAAAAATGCTATATCTTTATATCCGTTCACATTATATTAATATGAATTCATTACATTTATTTTCATGTTCAAATTCTATCAAAATAATTCTAATTTTGTTTAGTATATTTTTTAAAATTCAAAATAACAAGCGCGTAAAATATTGTTCAACATATTTTGATATAAAAAATGCTATTCCTTTAATGTCTTTTACATGAATTCATATTATATTAATATGAGTTCATTACATTTATCTTCATGTACAAATTATATCAAAATAATTCTAATTTTGTTTAGTATATTTTTTAAAATTCAAAATAACAAGCGCGTAAAATATTGTTCAACATATTTTGATATAAAAAATGCTATTCCTTTAATGTCTTTTACATGAATTCATATTATATTAATATGAGTTCATTACATTTATCTTCATGTACAAATTATATCAAAATAATTCTAATTTTGTTTAGTATATTTTTTAAAATTCAAAATAACAAGCGCGTAAAATATTGTTCAACATATTTTGATATAAAAAATACTATATATTTTAGATCAATTCATGTTATATTAATATCAGTTCATTACATTTATCTTCATGTACAAATTATATCAAAATAGTATTAATATCGGTTCATTACATTTATCTTCATGTACAAATTATATCAAAGTAATATTAATATCAATTTATTACATTTATCTTCATGTGCAAATTATATCAAAATAAAAATTAATATTAGCAAGTTGGTCAGTCTAAACTCATGTGACTTGAATTTACGTGACTTGCATAATTAATTACGAGTACCTAACAACTACGAAAAAAAAGGTTTAAATTTATTAATTAATTAAATAATGAATTCATAAAACTAATATTTATAAACTACATTAAATTTCCTTACAATGATAATACTAATTTGAAATATTTACTATCATTGTTATTTTCTTCATCCTATCTCAACTAATTTTTCGTTCAAATAATAAAGGCAAATATGTTAATTAATGATGTACAGTCGAATCTCGTCACAGCGGACCTCACCACAGCGGACTTCTTGTTACAACGGATTTCCCCTTTTTTTATTAATTATAATTAAAAATGTTTGTCATAACGGATTTTATTTAATAAATTTGTTCCACAATGTTAACGGGGTCTTTCTATATGGCTACTAGTCTCATCACAGCGAATTCACGTGACATATAAATTATGAAATTACCAAAATTGATAAATTAATAATCAAATAGATTATTTATTTTTAATCAAAGGTCAGTAATTAAATAAAGCAATAAAACAAATAAACAAACAATTTTATCCAAAGATTTGTGAGTAACAGATTTTCAAAATAAACCAATACAAACAATTGATAGGTCCAAATGTTTGCCAAGTTTCTAAACAATAAACAAAACAATTGATAGGTTTATTTGTCCAAATGTTTGCGGGTAACAACATTTTCCAAATTTCTAAATAAATCAATAAATCAATAAACAAAAAATTGATAGATTATTTGTCCAAATTTTAAAAATATATTAATAATCAACAATTGATAGATTATTTATCCGAACGTGTGCAAGTAACAAAATTTTCCAAGTTTCTAAAATAAACGATTGATAATAAAGTCAATAGATTATAAAGAATTCAAAGCATTTAAATCATTGAAAAGAAAAATGGAAAAACTAATACAACCAAATATCACAACAAATAATTTTAATTTCCGCATGTATTCATTTATTTCTGTATTTTAGATTATTAATAATTATTAATAAAAGCGTGAAAAAAAATTCTAATTTTGGAATAGAACATTTTTTGTCTGATATAAATATTTCAAAAATCTTGACAACTATTATTAGTCTTGGAAATCTTATTTATTTTTGTCAAACGCGCTAACCTACAGTTTTTCAAAAAAGGAAATCTTCTACAGTCCGTTTTATAAACTATGCGATATGCAAATTGCAAATTGCAATTTTATTATTTACAGATTGCAATTTTTGAATTTTGCAAACTGCAGATTGCAAATTGCATATTGCAAAGATTTGTTTCTGAACTTTTGGTAAACTGAATTTTTGGGGAAGAATGAGAGCAAAATTGAAATACAAAACATTGTGGCGAACAAATTTTTTTTTGCGTTGACACCAGTGTTGTGACCAGAAACTCTTTTGGCTTCCCGAAACGTTTCAGGAAATGAACTTACACTAAGCAGAAAACTAAAACTAAAACTAACCTAAGCAACTACTAACCTAAACTAGTTTCAGGTGGTTTCTGTTAGTTTCTGT